AGGAATTAGTGGTGCAGCCACAAACAGCATTAACTCCGCCAATATAAACACGTTTCATGGTCAAATTATAATTGAACACGGAATATTTTCTCATCATGAAGAAGGCCAATTCATTTCTCAATTCTCAGAGATCGATTTCACTAAAAAATCATTCATCATTTACAGACACTGATATTCCATTTACAGTAGCCGGGTTAGAAGCAAAACAAACAAACCCTGAAGGACCTCATCGATCACATGATTCAAATATATATCTAAAATCAACCCCCCATGACTAAAATGAAATTCCAAGAGACAAAATTCGAGCCCCTTTGTAAGTAAAAGAAAGTAATGATGTAATGATATAATGATATATTTCCCTCATTAAGTGGGTTTGTGCAAATTTAACAACAACCCATGAGAATTGGCGCATTCAAAGAAAGCCTTAGCAGTCATCTCCCTCTCAAACCTCCAAATATAGTTCAACCCCACGAGCAACTCAGTGATGGCAGCCTCAGTCTTGTCCTTATTTGCAAAGAACAAAGTCTGCAACAGCAACACATTGGTCTTGGGCACCAAGTTGTGCTGCTCAAAGCTCCTCTCACTCTGCCACTTGATCATGTTATGAGCCAAGGGTGACAACCACCCCAATATCCTCCCCAACGCCTCTCTCCATTCCCCAGCAAGCACAGGATCACTCGCACAAAACCCCACCCCTCTCAACCTCCCCCTCAAACCCCACCTTATGCTCCTCGGCAACATCCCATACAAGTCATCCCTTGCATCCACCCCAACCAAATGTGGCGACTTTATCATCTTCTCCATCACTATGATCAAATTCCCATAGTGCAAAGCCAACCCTGCAGCACCCAAAGTACTCTCCGGTGCCTTCAACAGCTTTGAGTTGCTCTCAAAAAACCCACTCCCCAATCCCAAATCCAAATCACCCTCTTTCTTATCCCCGTCAAGCTTCGAACTTTCTTCCAAATTAGGGTTTTGGTCAGATGGATAAACAGTGGCTGAAGCTGACAACGTGCGAGACAAAGAAGGAACACAATGCCCAATTCCGAAGACAACCTTAATCCTTGCTAAAACAGTGAAACTGAACCTCACGAGTAAGATAACAACGCTGTCGAAGCTTCTACTCCACAAAGATCTCTCCTTTAGATCCTTCACTTCTTGTTTCTGCCAAAAGATTTTCTGCTGAAGCTCGTACAGTTTCTGCTGGTCTTTGCTCCCGACGTTGCCGTCGGCGTGGTTCAACGCTTTTCGGAAGGTTGTTTCCATCACCGTGAGGTCCTCCATTTCGCGGTAGAGCGTTGCCGTGAGCGTCACGTAACGCTCCATTTTCTTCAGCTTAGACTCGGTTTCCTTTGGGCCCGAGAGGGCCCACCCGTTCGGGTCGCGGCCCGAGTCTGCGAACTCGAGAAAGGCCCGGTGGAAGGCCCGCAGGGCGGGGTCCTCGCAGCGAGCGCTGAGCCGAGTCACCGAGTTGGCAACGACTCGGAGCGACTCGGCGAACTCGGCGCAGGCGAGCCCGAGGAGGAAGGACTCGTCGTTGGAGATGATCTTCCGCACGCCCTCGAGGTTGACAGCGTCGTTGCGGATGCGGACGATGGTGGCGTCGGAGAGCGAGTGCCAGAGGTGGAGGAGCTTGGACATGACGCCGGCGATTTCGAAGGCCAAAACGCCGACGTTTGGTTTGGCCTTGAAGGAGGGTTTCTTCTTGAGAAGCTTCGGAGGGACCGAGTCGAAGCTGTTTGATAAAGCGGTTTTGACCTTGACGAAAAGCGTTTCGAGGGCCATGGTTTGGGTTTGAGGCGAGGTTGTGGGTGGTTTGAGCTAGAGCACCATGTGTTTGAGAAAATGTATATTAGAAAAGTGGGAGAGAGAAATAATTGAGGAGTGGGGAGGTTTTGTGCAGAGCGATGAGGATAAAAGAGAAGAGGATTGAAAATGGTAGAGAGGCTCGTGGGGTGTTTGTGTTTGTGTTTGTGTTTGGGTTTGATCAAGAGATTAATACAAGAGAGAAAAAAAGTGAGTGAGGTTAAAGTATTTAAAACCACATGCAGTGGCAGGTTGTATTTCTGGTTTAAGATTCAATCGCTCTAGAAGCGCGTGGAACAGTCTTAACCTATGATTATCGAGCTTCAAGCTCCTCCAATTTTATGCTTTGGTTTTTACTTCGTGGGGTTTTTAGACGCTGGGTTGTTGAATTATTGATATAGTTGTTGGTAAAGGAAACTTTTCTCTTGTGTTTGGATGCAAAGAAACACTTTTGTTTAAATGCTGTTGTATTCTTTTAGGATTGAGGAGGGTCATGTCATTATTGGTGCCCCTTTTCTTTTCAGCTATTAATTTATAAAAGCAATTGGTTTTGTTGTTATTGTTTTGTTTGTCACATTAATGCCCTAAAATTAAGAACTGCGATTCTCTCTCAGCTCTCACATGATGCACATTATAATAAGGAATAAAATGATATTTGAGAGGGTGGTGACTGGTGACTGATAATTTATGGCTTGTGAAATATATGCTCTAGTGTCGAAATAAAAGTCGGTATTCATTGGTCCAAAGATCCGTCATCAATTCCATTGACTGGTACTATTTCTTAAATCTTTATAATTAGAGGTCCATGGTTCACTTATGGCAATTTCAATTATTTAAGATTGTGAGATCATCATTGAGAATAAAACCAGGTAGAGATATAGTGATCTCTCACGATAATTTTGTTGGCATTACACATCATATATTTAGAAATAATGAGTATAAAAAACGGGAAATTCATTATGAAAATTAGCTATACCACCCAATGTAACATAATCATTTATGTGTTTATAATTATTCTCTAAATCAAATGAGCATAGAATATTCCCATAGCTAGCTAGCATGCATGTGCCTATGAATTCTACGTTGACTGGTTATTTACCATATGAATGACACAAAAAATATTGTCAATATACCAGTAACCAGTTATAATTCCGTTCTCTTGTTTAATTCCCTGAAATGTTTTCGTTGGAACTGTAATCAAGAAACAAGAAGAACTATTATTATCTTATCCCATAATGTATCTCTTCCATTTTTTAAGGAAACTATTTTTTCCATTCTTTAGTTTCCCATATATACCCGTTATATAAATCTGGATTGTCCTATGAATCCAATATATGTTGGCGTGTGAAGTTCAACGTATAAGAAGTTTTCTGTCTGAACGAGATTCGTTTGAAATACTATTTTGTATGTATCAAACAATTATGTGCATTCCAAGCAAGTAATGTCAATTGCTAAAAACAGAAAGCAGTGGTGTGACTTGTGAGTGCGTTTTGTGTGAATAATTAGTGGATCAGGTTTGACTTGGAATAGTTACTAGAGGACCAGATATATGTGGAGGAAGGTGGTAGAAACATGTAGATAGTGGCGTGTGCCTAAGAGAACGATATTTTCCTAACATATATAGCATATATAGACTTTTATATATATGGTGCATATTAACTTTAGATAGTGGAAATAATATTACCCCTCTACCACGGTCTTGGGGAACTAGATCACTCATTCACATCACGTGGTTAGTGGGAAGAGTGGGTTGGTCGGATATTTGATATTAGAGGCCATCCAATGCTAGCTAGCTCTTAGGATTTTTGTGTAAACCACTTTTTATTAAGCATTTTGGGAGCTTGGAATGGAAAATTAATTGGTGGTCACTATGTATTTTCTAAGATTAGGATGAAGCAGGAGAAGAATGAATTAATTAGGATATAAAAGACGTAGATGGAGTCCAAATTAAAAGGGTTATTTATTTTTTCAACCTTTGCCTTAACTTTAGCCAACCAATGGAAGGGCAATGGAGGATTTGTTTGTTGCGTTGTCGGAAAATGAATAAGCAGCCATGAGCCCATTCTGCATTGATATTGGTGCTTTTAAAAAGCAAACTCATGCATTCCTTCACCCTTGGCCTTGCTTGCTCTCCCTTATTTTAACTTTGTAATAATTTTTCTCTTCTGCTCTTGCAAAGACAGGCTGCTACTTCTATTATTATATCCTTTCATCACCCTTTTGCACATGGGGGAAAATTTTGGAACATAAAAGGTAAAAATAAAAGAGCCTTACATTACAGTGTTGGACTTATTGGGATACGCAACAGCAATTTTAATTTCTTTTGGAGATCGACTTTAGTTCGTGCTCATCTTACATTTATTTACTCACCGTGATATTCTATATTTCCCTCGATTCAATGGCATTCAATATGTCCATTTGCGTGAAACAAGTGGAGAGAGACAGAGAGGAAAAATAATCTTTAAACACTCGAGTGTGCTATTTGACACCTAATCAAAGAGAGAGAGAAAAGAAAATTATTATAAATATATGAGATGTGATAAGAAGATAAAAATATAGAGATATATAAATGAATGTTTATATCTTATACATATTTTTTATTTTGCTTAAATGATTCAGTATTTTTACTCTTTAGTTAAAGACATTCGTCCTGAGATACATCCTTATCAAACAAAAATAATAACATTTTTTTATATTATTTTAAATGATTTTTTAAGTTAACCCGCAGGCGAAAGCACATGGATATGCAGCGAAGGAAAAAGAAAAAAAAACTTGTTAAATCCTAGAGAAATATATAGCTGTTAAAGAGAATTTTGGGGGAAGGAAACCTCCCAATCCCATTGTTCTTGGAACCATTGACTTTAAGCTTGAATATTGTAACACGTGTCATGTGGCAAATGGCTAATGAAGCTAATCTTGTTTAGCAATCCTAAACTGATTCATTGTGACCTTCATAAATATTTGTCAATTAGTAACGATAATGAGAAAAGGGAGGATTGAAGTTAGGGATAGTGTTTGAGAAAAAAAGAACATGGGTTTAACATTGTCTTTTTGTATGTATGCAACGAACCAGCATCTCAATTGCGCACAATCTAGGAAGATATTGGATTCTCTACCGATTGTGTCAAGTACCCAAGTACATCTTTACCTTATTAATTTAAGACAAGCATTGTGAAACACATAATTAATGGCCCATTAACAATATAATGAGCATCAAATCCCACAAAAAGTAAAAAGGAAGCAAAAAGAAATATTCTTAAATAGGAGCTAGGTTAACGAAAGAGCTAGCATTACAGACCCACTTTTATCATATATGTAGTAATGTACAACGAAGGAAGTTTCCTAATTAGCTGTAGGAATCTTCCTGAATTGAGAACCAAAAAGTCTCATCACGATCATAGTCACTTGTGTATTTAGTTAAATAAAAAATTTAATTATTTTTAACCAAGTTATTTGATAAGCATTACGCATATTGAGATATTAATAATGCATGCTAGTGTGTGAATGTCCTTTGAAGAGTAAATCCAGCTTTCAATTATATGAAAATAAATGTCCTTTGAAGCCATTAGTGGAGGTTTCTTTGTTTTCATATTATGCTTATCTTTTATATATACTTTGCAGTTTGCAATTAAGCACACAACATTATTCAATGCATGCACCAACAAAGTTTGAAAAGGAGGTGTAGTAGTGTGTGCAATTCATGCGACCATTCTAATCTAGTTCCAAGCGTGGGGTTACATAGCAAGCACATTCGTTGCTAATTATTCATAATCACACAAAAGGGTGCATATTCGTTGCACCATGCGAACATCCTAAGCGTGGGGCTATATATAACAAGCATGCATGCTGGCTTGCTTGCTTGCACGCTAGCATGCCACGAATAACACCAATTCCTCAAACAAAAAATTATGGGGCAAAGTGTCTTTTTTTAGGAGGGTGGTCAAAAACAGCTACTATGAGTTCATTACATATCTACATATATGTACATATATGCCGTGCAAAGCGTGAATACTATAATTGGTGAAGATGGAACTGTGAAGTTTGCTATCATAATGGGTGATGATACATACATGATGTCACTTTGGTTCCGAAGAACACCTTTATAACCTTCTTGATTACTCTAATTTCCAGAGCGATGGATTCAAGTGGGACAGGGAAAAAACGAGTGTTTGAAAAGTCACGTACGCACAATCAAAGCTAATATGGGTGTGAAAGGTTTTTTTTTTTTCATATATATATTTTTTAATCTATAAATACAGTCACAATATCCTAAAATTGACACAAAAGATTATTCTATGTTTATAAAGTGTAATTTTTGCTGATTAGGTATTATTTTAATACAAATAAAAATTAAATTCGAGATCATCAGTTCAACCTTATATCTCAAGACAAATGTTATAATCATTAGATCAGTAGACTCACCAAGTGTGAAAGATAAAGATTAATTTGGGCATGAGAGGGACTTTCCATGGACGAATAATAAAGTCTTGGCCAGGACTTGTTTTTAAGCATTTTATTTTCTTATTCCATACTTTCGGCTCGAGGAAATCTAGTTGATGAGTGTATATCTTCCAGGCTGCAGGTCAAATTTAGTTTATTAATTGGCCACTATCATTATATAGTTAGTTAAGAGCTTTATAGATAATTAATTTTTGAGGTGATACATATATTGTTTCAAAAATTCTAGATTTATAGGACACCCATCATTTATAGTTAACACTTTATACAAATTGAGTGAAATCAAATTATTCGAAAAATAATTTTTAATATAATTATTTCTTAATAATTATTAATATATATTAAATTTTAATAATTTAATCATTGAATTAATTTTTTTATTAAATAAATCAAGTATACAACTTTTCATAAAGTTTAAAAAATATTTCAATTTTTAGTAAATAAGTTTAAATTGACATGTAATATTTTTTTAAAAACATAAATAAATGTTGATTATAGGATTATCTAACTATTATAAAAGTCTTAATTTTTCTAAAATTTTATATACATGATCATTGAAATATATTTAAGTTGTTCAATGATCAAATCATTGAAGATTATTATATATTAAGAGTCGTCGAGTAAAATAATTTTAGTTTGAATTATTCATGAAATAACTTTGTTAGGTATAGGTTTGTTTTATATAGTAGGTAATTGCATATGATATAGTCCTTGATAATTATATAGAATAATTAAATATGGCAAGTTTAATTTTTTTAAAATCAAAACTGAAGTTGAGATGTGTCAACTCTATTGTTACTAGTCTTAATTATTGAGGCACACTAGTTAATGCTAAATCATAAGTTCATGTAATTTTTTAT